ACTGTGGAATATACATTATATTCAGCAGCACATGGAACTTTCTCAAAGATATATAATATGATAGCCATGAAACAAGTCTCAATACATTTAAAATAATTTAAATTATATCAAGCTCTCTCTCAGATAACAGTAAAATAAAATTGGAAATCAACTCTAAAAGGAACCTTCAAAACCATGCAAATCCATTGAAATTAAATAACTTGATCCTGAAAAATCACTGGGTCAACAATAAAATAAAGACGGAAACAAAAAAGTTTGAATTGAATGATTATAATAATACTACATATTAAAAGCTCTGGGCTACAGCAAAGGCAATGCTAAAAGAAAATTTGATAGCCTTAAATGCCCACATCAGAAACTGTGAAAAAGCACAAATAGACAAATCCAAGCTGTCACCTCAAAGAACTAGAGAAACAAGAATAAACCAAACTCCAAACCAGCAGAGGAAAGGAAATAACCAAGATCAGAGCAGAACTAAATAAAATTGAAACAAGGAAAAAAAAATACAAAAGATAAATAAAACAACTGTTTCTTTGAAAAGATAAATAAAATTCATAGACTGTTAAAAAACATCAAACATTAATGAAAGAGAGAAGATCCAAATAAGTTCAATTAAAAACAAAATGAGAGATGTTATAATTGACACCACAGAAACACAAAAGATTATTTAAGGCTACCACTAGCACCTTTACATGTATAAAATAAAAAACCTAGAAGAGATGGATAAATTACTGGAAATACACCACCTGCCTAGCTTAAATCAGGAAGAATTAGAAACCTTAAATGGAGGAATAACAAGCAGTGAGATTGCAATGGTAATAAAAAAAATTCCCAACAAAAAAAGTTCAGGACCAGATAGATTTACAGCTGAATTCTATTAGACATTCAAAGAGGAATTGATACCAATTCTATTGACACTGTTCTACATGATAGAAAAAGAAGGAAGCCTCCCTAAGTCAATCTATGAAGCCAGTATCACCTGAATACCAAAATCAGGAAAAGAAATAACCAAAGATGGAGATCCAACATGTCCAAATAGAAACAGCACTGGAGTGCAGTTCCCAGTGAGAACAACACAGAGGGTGAGTGATAACCACACTTCCAAATGAGTTTTTACTTCCCACAGACCAGAAGATTCCTGGGCTGACAAGTGCCACAAGTTTCCAGCATGACTGTTTCAGCCAGCGCCATGGGTTTCCATACAAAAACTCACACAAATCTGGGTGACCATTTCAACTGGTACCTGGAACACCTGGGAGACAGAGCCACCCATTCAATTGAAAAAGAGGGGGCTGAAAGAGGGAGCCAAGCAAACTGGCTTTGTGAGTCCCACCCCCACAAAGACTAACAATCTGAAACGCTCCAAAGTGAGAGTTTTGCAGCAAGTGCAGCTGGACCAAGGACAGTCGAACTCAGAGCAGGGAAGGGCATCTGCTATTACTGAAGTAGTCCAGCATTACCAAGGCAGTCTTCAATTACCAAGGCAATCTGCCATTACCGAGGAAGTCTGCCATTACAGAGGCAGACTGCCATTACTGAGGCAGTTCTAACTGTACCTCTGCAACCTACAAGGAAGTTTACACAGCAGCCAGGAAGAGCCCACAGCAGCACAGCAATGCCTCTGCTGGCATACTGGGACTAGACTACCTTCTTGCAGGGCAGGACATCTTTGAATAAAGGCAGCAGCATGTCAGGAACTTGTAAATAAAACCCCACCTTCCCAGGACAGAGCACCTAGGAAAACAGGCAGTTATGAGTTCCGCTGCAGCAGACTTAAATGTACATGCCCAGCAGCTCTGAATGGAACAACAGAGCTCCCAGCACAGCACTTGAGCTCCTATAAGGGACAAAATGTCTCCTCAAGCAGCTCCCCGACCTGCATATATCTAAAGAGACACCTCATAAAGGAGGGCTCAGGCTGACACCTGGTGGGGACACTTCTGGGATGAAGATAACAGAAGAAGAAACTGGCAGTAAACCTTACTGTTCTGCAGCCCTTTTAGGTGATCCTCATGCAAGCAGGGTCTGGAGCAGACCTCCAGCAGTCCTGAAGCAGAGGGGCCTGTTAGAAGGAAAACTAAGAAGCAGAAAGAAATAGCTTCAACATCAACAAAAAGAACATCCACTCAGAAATCCCATCCAAAAGTGACCAACTACAAACACCACAGTTAGATAAATCCATGAAGATGGGAATAAATCAGTGCAAAAAGAATGAAAACGCCATAAATCAGGATGCCTCTCCTCCTCCAAGGGATCACAACTCCTCAGCAGCAAGGGAAAAAAGCTGGATGGAGAATGAGTCTGATGAATTAACAGAAGCAGGCTTCAGAAGGTGGGTAATAACAAACCTCTCTGAGCTAAAAGAACATGTTCTAACCCAATGCAAAGAAACTAAGAACCTTGAAAAAAGGTTAGATGAAATAAACAGCTTAGAGAAGAATATCAACAGCTTTATGGAGCTGAAAACCACAACAGGAGATCGTCACGAAGCATATACAAGTTTCAGTAGCCAAATCAACCAAGCAGAAGACAGGATATCAGAGATTGAAGATCAATGAAATGAAATAAAATGAGAAGGCAAGATTATAGAAAAAAGAGTGAAAAGAACTGAACAAAGCCTCCAAAAAACATGGGATTATGTGAAAAGACATAATCTATGATTGATAGGTGTACCTAAATGTGACGGACAGAATGAATCCAAGCTGAAAAACACTCATCAGGATATTATCCAGAAGAACTTCCGCAACCTAGCAAAGCAGGCCAACATTCAAATCCAGGATATACAGAGAACACCACAAAGATATTCCTCAGGAAGAGCAACCACAAGGCAAATAATTGTCAGATTCACCAGAATTTCAATGAAGGAAAAAATGCTAAGGGCAGCGAGAGAGAAAGGTTGGGTTACCCACAAAGGGAAACCCATCATACTCACAACAGAACTCCCAACAGAAACCCTACATGCCAGAAGAAAGTGGGGACCAATATTCAACATCCTTAAAGAAAAGAACCTTGAACCTAGAATTTCATATCCAACCAAACTAAGCTTCATAAGTGAAGGAGAAATAAAATATTTTACAGAAAAGCAATTGCTGAGAAATTTTGTCACCACCAGGCCTGCCTTACAAGAGCTCCTGAAAGAAGCACTAAACATGGAAAGGAATAACCAGTACCAGCAACTCCAAAAATGTACCAAATGGTAAAGACCATTGACACAATGAAGAAACTGCATCAACCAGTGGTCAAAACAACCAACTAGCATTAAAATGTCAGGAACAAATTAACATATAACAATATTAACCTTAAATGTAAATGGCCTAAATGCCCCAATCAAAACACACAGACTGGTAAATTGGATAAAAGTCAAGACTTATCTGTGTTCTCTACTCAGGAAATGCATCTCACATGCAAGGACACACATAGGCTCAAAATAAAGGGAAGGAGGAAGATTTCCCAAGCACATGGAGAGAAAAAAAAAAAAAGCAAGAGTTGCAATCCTAGTCTCTGATAAAATGGACTTTAAACCAACAAAAATCAAAAGAGACAAAGAAGGGCATTACATAATGGTAAAAGGATCAATGCAACAAGAAGAGCTAATGATCCTAAATATATATGCAGCTAATATAGGAGAACTCAGATACATAAATCAAGTTCTTAATGACCTACAAAGAGACTAAGACTCCCACACAATAATAGTGCGAAATTGTAACACTCCACTGTCAATATTAGACAGATCAATGAGACAGAAAATTAACAAGGATATTCAGGATTTGAAATCAGGTCTGGACCATGCAGACCTAATAGACATACACAAAACTCATCACACTAAACCACAGAATGTACATTCAACAAAATTCAATGCCCTTTTTGCTAAAAATTCTCAACAAATTAGGTACTGATGAAATGTATCTCAAAATAATAAAAGTTATTTACAACAAACCTACAGCCAATAACATACTGAATGGGCGAAAACTGGAACCATTTCCTTTGAAATCTGGCACAAGACAAGGATGCCCTCTCTCATCACTCCTGTTCAATACAGTATTGGAAATTCTAGCCAGAGCAATCAGGCAACAAAAAGAAATGAAGGATATTCAATTAGGAAAGGAGGAAGTCAAATTGTCTCTATTTGCAGATGACATGATTGTATATCCAGAAGACTCCATCATCTCAGCCCCAAATCTCCTGAAACTGATAAGCAACTTCAGCAGTCTCAGGATACAAAATCAATGTGCAGAAATCACAAGTATTCCTATGCACCAATAAGAGACAAACAGAGAGCCAAATCAAAAGCAAACTCCCATTCACAATTGCCACAAACAGAATAAAATACCTAGGAATACAACTAACAAAGGATGTAAAGGACTTCTTCAGGGAGAATTACAAACCACTGCTCAAGGAAATAAGAGAGGACAGAAACAGATGGAAAAACATTCCATGCTCATGGTTAGGAAGAATCAATATTGTGAAAATGGCCATACTGACCAAAGTAATTTACAGATTCAATGCTATCCCCATCAAGATACCAATGACGCTCTTCACAGAACTGGAGAAAACACTTCAAACTTCATATGGAACTAAAAGAGAGCCCACATAGCCAAAACGATCCTAAGTATAAAGAAGAAAGCTGGAGACATCACACTGCCTGACTTCAAACTATACTACAAAGCTACAGTAATCAAAACAGCATGGTATTGGTACCAAAACAGAGACATAGACAAATGGAACAGAACAGAGGACTCAGAAGCAACACCACACATCTACAACCATCTGATCTTTGACAAACCTGACAAAAACAAGCAATGGGGAAAGGATTCCCTGTTTAATAAATGGTGTTGGGAAAACTGGTTAGCAGTGTGCAGAAAGCAGAAACTGGATCCTTTCCTGACACCTTATGCTCAAATTAACTCCAGATGGATTAAAGATCAGAACGTAAGACCTAACACCATAAAAACCCTAGAAGAAAACCTAGGCAAAACCATTCAGGACATAGGCATATGTAAGGACTTCATGACTAAAACACCAAAAGCAATGGCAACACAAGCCAAAATAGACAAATGAGATCTAATTAAACTCCAGAGCTTCTTTACAGAAAAAGAAACAATCATTAGAGGGAACCAGCAACCAACAGAATGGGAAACAAATTTTGCAATCTACCCATCTGACAAAGGGCTAATATCCAGAATCTACAAAGAACTAAAACAGATTTACAGGAAAAAAAAAAGCCATTCAAAAGTGGGCAAAGGATGTGAACAGCCACTTTACAAAAAAAGACATCTATGATGCCAACAAATATATGAAAAAATGCTCACCATCACTGGTCATTAGAGAAATACAAATCAAAAACGCATTGAGATACCATCTCACGCCAGTTAGAATGGTGATCAATTAAAAACCTGGAGACAATAGAAGAATGTGTATTCTGTGGATTTAGGGTGGAGAGTTCTTTAGATGTCTACTAGGTCCACTTAGTCTAGATCTGCATTCAATTCCTGGATATTCTTGTTAATTTTCTGTTTCATTGATCTGCCTAGTATTGACAGTGGAGTGTTAAAAGTTTTCCACTATTATTGTGTGGGAGTGTAAGTCTCTTTGTAGGTCATTAAGAACTTGCTTTATGTATCTGGGTGTTCCTGTATTTGTTGCATATATATTTTGGGTAGTTAGCTCTTCTTGTTGCATTGATCCTTTTACCATTATGTAATGCCCTTGTGTCTTTTGATCTTTGTTGGTTTGAAGTCCATTTTATCAGAGACAAGGATTGCAACCCCTGCTTTTTTTTTTTTTCACTCCATGTGCTTGTTAAATCTTCTTCTATCCCTTTATTTTGAGTCTATGTGTGTCTTTGCACATGAGATGGGTCTCCTGAATACAGCACACTGATGTATCCCGACTTTTTAAGCAGTTTGCCAGTTTGTGTCTTTTGATTGGTGCACTTAGGCCATTTACATTTAAGATTAATATTGTTATGCTTGAGTTTGATTTTCCCATTTTGTTACTAGTTGGTTGTTTTGCCTATTAGTTAATGCAGTTTCTTCATTGTGTCATTGATCTTTACCATTTGGTACATTTTTACAGTGGCTGGTAGTGATTCATTCCATGTTTAGTACTTCTTTTAGGAGCTCTTGTAAGGCAGGTGTTGTGGTGATGAAATCTCTCAGCAATTGCTTGTCCATAAAGGATTTTATTTCCCCTTCACTTATGAAGCTTAGTTTGGCTAGATATAAGATTCTGGGTTCAAAATTCTATTCTTTAAGGATGTTGAATATTGGCTACCACTCTCTTCTGGCTTGTTGGGTTTCTGCCAGGATATCTGCTGTGAGGCTAATGGGCTTCTCTTTGTGGGTGAATCAATCTTTCTCTCTGGCTGCCCTTAGCAGTTTTTTCCTTCATTTCAACCTTGGTGAATCTGATTATTATGTGCCTTGTGGTTCTCTTTTTGAGGAGTACATTTGTGGTGTTCTCTGTATTTCCTGCATTTGAATGTTGGCCTGCCTTGCGAGGTCATGGAAGTTCTCGTGAATAGTAATCTGAAGAGTGTTTTCCAGCTTGGGTTCATTCCCCCTGTCACATTCAGGTACACCAATTGAGAGTAGTTTAGGTCTTTTCACATAACCCCATATTTCTTGGAGGCTTTGTTCATTTATTTTTACTCTTTTCTCTGTAATATTGCCTTCTCATTTTATTTCATAGAGTTGATCTTCAATCTCTGATATCCTTTGCTTTGCTTGATCAATTTGGCTATTGAAACTTGTGTATGCTTCACGGAGTTCTCGTGTTGTGTTTTTCAGCTCCATCAAGTAGTTTATGTTGTTCTCTAAGCTGGTTATTCAAGTTACAATTTGGTCTCACCTGTTTTCAAGGTTTTTAGTTTCTTTACAATGAGTTAGAACATGTTCCTTTCGCTCAGAGAAGTTTGTTATTACCTATGGTCTGAAACCTGCTTCTGTCAATTCATCAAACTCATTCTCTATCTTTTTTTTTCTCTTGCTTGTGAGGAGTTGTGATCCCTTGGAGGAGGAGAGGCATTCTGGTCTATGATTATTTCATCCTTCTTCCCATCTTTGTGGGTTTATCTACCTTTGATCTTTGAAGGTGATGATTTCTGATGGGGTTTCTGAGTGGACATCCTTTCTGTTGATGTTGAAACTATTTCTTTTTGTTGCTTTTTAGTTTTTCTTCTAATAGGCTTCTCTGCTTTAGGACTCCTGGAGGTCCAGTCCAGACCTTGCTTACTTGGGAATCACCCATGGGGCCTATAGAAGAGCGAGTATTGCTGCCTGATATTTCCTTTGGTAGTTCTGTCCCAGAAGGGTACCTGCCAGTTGTCAGCCAGAGCTCTCCTGTATATAGCACCTTTTTAGTTATGCAGGGGTCTGGGAGTTGCTAGAGGAGGCTGTCTGTCTTTTGTCTGCCTGCAGTGGCACTGTTGGGGTAACACAGGCTCAGTCCAGCTGCTGTGTAACCTTCCTCTGGCTTTTGTTTACACAGGTAAGATCAGCTATGGTGGACACACTTCCCCCATCGAGCTCGATCATCCCTGTTTGAGCTTGAACTGATGCGCTGGCCACAAAACTCTCAAGTGAGAGGGCTTCAGTTTGCTGGTCTTTGTAGGGGTGGGACCTGCCAAACCATATCACCTGTCTCCCTGCTTTTAGCTCCCCCTCTTCTGGGGAGACAGGAGTTCCGTCCTGCAGGCGCTTTCAGCACTAGTCCAAAACATCCACCCTGATCTGTGCTGACAACCCGCAGTGCCAGCTGGAGATTCTGCTCAGATCTGTGCTAGTAACTTGTGGTGCTTTTCAGCCCAGTGGGGATCTCCTTGTCTGTGGGTTGCAAAGGTTACGGGAGAAGCACAATACCTGAATAGGAGTACCAGAGGGGAAGAGTCCCTGATCCTCTATACAGTTGCACTTCCAGGGTAGGGCAGCACCCTGCCCTGCCTCAGTTTGCCCTCCTTGGGCTACACCCATTGTCCTACCAGTCCCATTGAAATTAACCTGGTAACTTGGTTGGAAATGCAGAGATTGCATTTCCACTTCTGTGCCACTCTCACTGGAAACAGCACTCCAGAGCTATTCCTATGCAGCCATATTAGCCTTGTGATACTAGTTTTTTTAAAAGTAAACATGGTATGCATCAGTGGTCAAGGAAACAAAAACATTAAAACCTAACTTTTTGTTTAATGGACACTCTTTGGCCCAAAATCTTTGGCAGAGGCTCAGCAAAAAGAGCTATCACTGTCAGTAGAAAATAGAAAAGCAGCTAAAAGTAGGCGTGTAGTTTATTTTAAAATTGTATTTAGAAAGGTCTTTAAATTTGATATACAACATACTTTATATACGCCAATTTTATGCCACTGTAAAGCAGTAATAAACTACTTTACAATAAATGAAACTTCCAAAACCATATCAGAAAAACTATCGGGCAGTTTCTTGGAAAGTTAAGCACATACTGTCCATGTGACCCAGCAGTCCCATTCCTAATTGCACTGGTTAGGACTACCAGTACTGTACTAAATACAAGTTGTGGAAGTGGGCATCCTTGTCTTGTTTCTAATCTTAAAGAAAAATGTTCAGCTTTTCATCATTGAGTATGATGTTACCTGTGTGCTTGTCATATACGGCCTTTATAATGTTGTGGTCCATTATGTTACTACCTAATTTATTGAGAGATTTTATCACAAAATGATGTTGCATTTTGTCAAATTATTTTGCTGTGTCTATTGATATGATAGATAATTTTTATCTTTAATTCTCTTAATGTGACATATCACATTCATTGAATTGCATGGACCAAATTATTCTTACATCCTAGGGATAAATATCATTTGAACATGGTGATTCCTTTCATGTGTTGTCAAATACTGTTCACTCATATTTTGTTAAGGTTTGTTCATCAGTATTCATTGGGGATATTGGTCCCAATTTTCTGTTTGTCTTTTTGTAACATGGTGAAAGACTGCAACATTTTCTCTAAAATCAGAAATAAGAAGAGAATACTTACTTTTGCCATTTATATTCAATATAGTACTAAACGTCCTAACCACCAGTATAAAATAAGAAAAAGAAATAAAAGCTGTCCAAATTGGAAATTGCAAAGTGAAAATTTGTCTTCAGGTGATGTGATATTCTATATGGAAAACCATCAATTTTCCACCAAAAGCTGTTATAACTAATAAATTCAGCAAATTTGCAAGATACAAAATGAACACACATATATCAGTTTCATTTCTATACACTAATAATAAACATTTAAAAATGATAAAGCAATTCCCAAAACAATAGCATCAAAAGAATGAAATATTTAAGAATAAAGTGAATCAAAGAGGTCAAAGACACGTATACTAAAAACTACAAAAGTGTGTTACAAAAAATTTAATAAAGATGTAAGTAAATAAAATAATGCCCCAGGTTCATTCAGTGGAAGATTTAGTATTTTTAAGATGTTAATACCTATTTTATTCTGACATAGTGGATTATGGGCTTTTAGTGTGCTTCAGTCACTTAGAAATAGATAAACGTGTAAAGATAAACTCCGTGGACTTTAATTCAAGAAGAAAAATGGGAATTTACCAGAAAAGCAAAGAACACCCCAGAACTTAGGGAGAAGACTTGGAAGCAGCCCCCCTGTTGGTGGTTGACTGATTTAAACCAGCCCATGGCCTGAGACAACAGAGAACATACCACAGCAAACCGGGATCAAGTATACACCCATCCACATTGGTTATAGTCAGCTCTTACCCATAAGCACATACTAGTTCCCTGGAGGCTAAATGGTAGAATAAAACAAGAAATCTGCTGGCTGAAGTACACAGCATTAGGGAATAAGGTCAGATAGCCTGAGAGCTCTGACACCCAAGCTACATAGGAGGTAGTGTGTCTGCTGACAGGCCCAGCACATCACTACTACAGCAAATATTTGAGAAAGCCACTATATATAGGCTACTTTTAACCAAGGAACTTACAAAGATTCTTTGCCACGTAAAACATTCAGAACCAAAGCCAAGGGACTCTACACAGCATCATAAATTTTAGACACCTCCTCAAGAGTAAAAATATTGCCACCTAAACAACAAAAAAAAAAGTCAAAATGTAAGTAAGAGAAATAGCCTACCCAAATGAGAAAGAACCAGAGCAACAACTCTGAAAATATAAAACAAGAGTGTTACTACATCCACAAAGGAAAACACTCCCTCTTTAGCAACAAATTCTAACCAAAAGAAAATCTGTGAAATATAGATAAAATATTCTATGCATCAATTTTAAAGAAACTCAATGTGATGCAAGAAAAAGCTGAAACCAACACAAAGACATCAAGAAAACAATTCAGGACATGAAAGAAGAGAAAAATATCAAGGAAAAAACCCAGAATATCTGGAAATAAAAAAAGTAAGAGTTACAAAATACAGTTAAAAACTTTAACAATAGGCTAAACCAAATATAATAAAGCATTACAGAGCTGAAAAACAGTTCATTTGAATTAGCTCAGTCAGACAGAAATAAAGAACAATGAATTTAAAAAGATAAAAAAGTCTTTGAAAAATATAGAATTATGTAAAACTCCCAAATCTACAAGTTGTAGGTATTCTAGGGAAAGATAAAATATAAAAACTATGGAAAATTTATTTCAGAAATAAGAAAACATTGAGATTTAAACATATAGATACTCTGGGCAACAAGAGCAAAACTCTGTCAAAAAAAAAAAAAGTTATAAAGCTATCCAAAGTCAGCTTAAAAAAAAATTGTAAGAGTGGCAAAAGAGGTGTGTAATCTCATCAGACTGACAGCAAACTTTTCAGCAGAAATCCTACAATCCAGAAAAGGTTTGGGCCTATTTTTCACATCCTTAAAGCAAAGAAAAGCCAGCTGAAAATTATATATCCTGCCAAACTAAGCTTCAGAAATAAGGGAGAAATAGTATTTTCCAGAGAAACTATCACTAAGGAAATTTATTTCTGCTAGACTGTTCCTTTAAGAAAAGCTCAAAGGAGTTCTAAACATGGAGATGAATTGACAACAATCATCATTATAAAAGGACACATAAGTACAAAGTTTGTGTATCCTATGAAACAATTACACAATTCAAACCCCAAGGCAACTAGCTAACAACAATATAACAATATCAAAATCTCACATATTAATATTATTAACCTTGAATATAAATGCCCTAACTACACCAATTAAAAGATACAGATTGACAAACATGATTCAAAACAAAAAAGTCTGTTGCCTAAAAGAGACATACCTACTGGCTAAATACAACTACAGACTTAAATTAAATGGGTGAATAAAGATACATCGTGCAAATGGTAAACAAAAGTGAGCAGAAGCCACCATTCCCATAGCAGATAAAACAGACCTTAAACCAACAACAATTAAAAAAAGAAGAAGAAGGGCCTTTTATTATTAATGATAAAAGCTTCAGTACATCAAGAAGAATTAATCATCTTAAATATATATACACCCAACACTGGAGCACCTAGATTCATAAAACAATTACTACTTGACCTTAAAAAATATGGATAGCAATGGAGTAATAATGAGAGACTTAAACATCCCCACTTAAACAACTAGACAGGTCATCAAACCAGAAAAGCAACAAAGAAACTTTAAACTTAAACTTAAGTATAGACCAAATGAAGACATTTACAGAGCTTTCTATCCAATGACAGTAGAGTATATTATCTTCTCATCACCACATAGAACATTCTCCAAAATTGACCATATGCTTGGCCATAAAGCAAAAATTATTAAATATTTTGAAGTCAAAATCATATTAAGTATTTTCTTGGACCACAGTGTAACAAAATTAAAAAGCACCACCAAGAGGAACTCTAAAAACTACACAGGTACATGGAAGCTAAACAACTTATTTCTGAACGACCTTTGAGTAAATGACAAAATTAACATACAAATGAAAAGAAATCAAAACGATGAAAATAGAGATACAATATATCAAAACTTTGTGATACAGTAAAAAAAAAGACTTAAAAGTTTATACCATTAAATGTCCACAATAGAACAGTCCCAAATTAACAACCTAACATCAAACTTCAAGAAACCAGAAAAATAAGAACAATGCAAACTTGAAGCTAGCAGAAGAAAAGAAGTAACGAAGATCAGAGCAAAACTAAATGAGATGGAGACAAAAAAAAAAAGATACAAAAAATTAACGAAAGAAAAATTTGTGGTTTCTTTTTAAGGATAAACAAAATTGACAGGCAGCTAACTAGATTAACCAAGATAAAATGAGGCAAAATTCAAACAAATACAATCAGAAATGAGAAAGAGGGCATTACAACTGATACCGCACAAATACAAAAGATTATCAGCAGCTACTATGAATGCCACTATGTGCTAGAACCAGAAAACCTGTAGAAAATGGATAAATTCCTGGAAACATACAAATCCCCAAGATTGAACCAGGAAGAAATAAAAATCATAAACATGCTAATAACAAGCAAAAAAAGAAAAAGCTGAATCAGTAATAAATTATTTTTCAACAAAATACAAAAGTCTGGTATCAGACAGATTCCCAGACAAATTTTACAAGACATAAAAAGAAGAGCTGGTAACAATCTTATTGAAACTATTCCCAGAAATTGAGAAGGGATTTCTTTCTAACTCATTCTATAAAACCAGTATTACCAGTATCATACTGATATCAAAATCAGCAAGGACAAAACAAAAAAGAAAACTACAAGCCAATATCTCTGGCAACACAGATGCAAAAGTCCTCAAGAAAATACTAGAAAACAGATTCCAACAGCACATCAAAAAAGCTGATTCATCACAATCAAGTTGGTTTTACTTTAGGGATGCAAGGATGATTCAACATCTACAAATCAATAAATGTGTTTCACCATCTCAACAGATGCAGATCAAGCATTTGAGAAAATATAACCCTTCATCATAAAAACCCTGAACACACTAGACATTAAAATAACATACCTCAAAATAATAAGAGCCATCTATAACTAAATCACAGCCAGGATTATACTGAATGGGGAAACGTTAAAAACATTCCAACTAATAACTGGAAGAAGACAAGAATGTCCAATCTCACCACTCCTACTCAACATAATATTGGAAGCCCTAACCATAGTAATCAGTCAAGAAAATGAAATAAAGTATCTTCAAAATGGGGAAAGTGTAAATCAAATTATCTATTTCTGATGCTGGTTATCTTTCTAGAAAACCCCAAGACTCTCCCAAAAGACTCCTAGACTTAATAAGCAGAATCACTAAAGTTTCAAAGTACAAAATAAATGCGCAAAACAGTAGTATTTCTATAAAACAATAATGTCCATGCTGAAAACCAAATCAATAACTAAATTCCATTTATAATAACCACAAATAAATGAAATACCTAGGAATATATTTACAAAGGAGGTAAAAGATAACTACAAAGAGAACTTTAAGACACTGATGAAATAAATTGTAGATAATTAAAACATAGGAGATGTTCACAGACTGGAAGCATCAGTATCGTTAAAATGAGCATACTGCCCAAAGCAACCTACAGATTCAATGTTTTCCCTATCAGGTTACCAAAATCATTTTTAATAGAATTAGAAAAATACAATCCTTAAATTCATATGGAACAACAAGAAGAACAAAAATTAATTAAGGTAATTCTTGCTGAAGAGAACAAATCAAGAGATATCAAACTGCATGACTTGAAGTTAAACTACAAGGCTATAGTAATTAAAACAGCATAGTACTGCAACATAAATAGACACATAGGTAAAGAGAATAAAATAGAGAACCCAAAAATAAAGCCACATACTGAAACCAACTGTGCTTCAACAAAGTTGATAAAAATAAAAAATTGGGAAAGGACACCTTATTCAATAAATGGTGCCAGGAAAAATTGGCTAGCCATGCGCAGAAGAATGCATCTGGACCCCTATCTTTCACCATATACAAAAATCAACTGAAGATGGATTGAAGACTTAAATGAAAAACATGGGACTACAAAAGTCCTGGAAGAAAATCTAGAGAAAACTTTCCTGGACATTGGCCAAGGCAAACCATTTATGAAGAATAACTAAAAACCAAATGAAACAGAAACAAAAATAGACAAATGGGACTTAATTAAACCAAAATGCCTTTGTACAGCAAAATAGACAATCAACAGAGTAAACAGACAACCTATGGAATGCGGGAAAATATTTGCAAATTATTCCATTGACAAAGGACTAATATCCAGAATCTACACGAAAACCAACAACTCAACAAGAAAAAAACAAAATAAAACAAACATATCCATTTAAAGCAGGGCAAAGAACATTAATAGACATTTCTCAAAGGAAAAAATACAAGTGGCCAAGAAACACATGAGAAAATGCTCAACATTATTAATCATCAGAGAAATGCAAATTTAAACCACAATGTGATATCATCTCACACTGGTCAGAATTGCTATTATTAAAAAGTAAAACAAGGAAAAGAAAACAACAGATGTTGGCACAGATGTGGAGAAAATGAGGTGCTTATGCATTTTTGTTGGGAATGTAAATTTATTCAACCTCCATGTAAAACAGTATAGAGATTTCTCAAAGAACTAAAAATAGGACTATTATATAACCCAGCAATTCCATTACTGGGTATATACACAAAGAAAAATAAATCATTATATTAAAAAGGCACTTGTATTCATATGTTCATTGCAGCACTATTCATAACAGCAAAGTCATGAAACCAACCTAACTATCTATCAGTGGCTGACTGGATAAAGTAAATGTAGTATATATACACCATGGTCTAATACACAGGCATAAAAATAATGACTGTATGCCCTTTGTAGCAACATGGATGGAGCTGGGGACCATTATTTTAAGTGAAGTAACTCAGAAAAAGACAATCAGTTACTTCATGTTCTCACTTAAAAGTGAGAGCTAAGCAATGCGTTTATATGATTATAAAGACACTGGTAACTCCAAAAAAGAAGATGGGAATGAAGAGACAGTTGAAAAATCAGGCACAATGTTTACTATTTAGGTATTGGGTACACTAGAAGCCCAATCTTCACAAGTATGCAAAAGAGAAGCATGTGTACCTTCCTTAATCTAAAATAAAGTGAAAATAAAAATATGTCAATATTTCCCAAAACAATTTACAGATTCCATGTGATTCCTATAAAATCCTATTAATTTTTTTTGCAAATATAGTAAAATCTATCCTAAAATTTGTATGGAATTTCAAAGGACTCAAAATTACCAAAATGGTCTTGAGAAAAGAAAGCAAACCTGGAGTTCTCACATTTCTTAATTTCAAAACTTACTATATAACTACAGTAATCAAACTAGTGTGTTAATGACATAATGGCAGACCTACAATCCATTGTAATATAATTGAGAACCCAGGAACATATACTCACATAAATGGTCAAATCATTTTTGACAAGGGTAGCAAGACCATTCAAATGAGGAAAGGACAATCTTTTCAACAAATGGTGTTAAGAGTACTGAATATCCACATGGGAAAGAATAAAGTTGGAGCCTCCATTTACCCCACTTACAAAAAATTAAATGCATTAAAGACCTAATGTAAAAGCTAAAATTATATACCTTTTAAAAAGAAACATAGAGGTAAAACTTCATCACATTTATTTTCAATGATTTCTTGGACATGACACCTAAATCACAAACAACAAAAGTAAACAAATTGGGTTACAAGAAGTTGGGAAGGGTAGTGGTGGTGGGGAGTGAGGATGGTTAATAAGTACAAAAATATAGTTAGATAGAACAAATGAGAACTAGTATTTTATAGTATGACAGAGTAATTACAGTCAGTAATAATTTATTGTACATTAAAAAATAACCAAAAGGGGATATTAGAATGTTTGCAACATTACAAAATGATAAATGCTTGAAGTAATGGACACCTCGTTTACAACGATGTGTTTATTACACATTGTATGCCAGTGTCAAAGTATCTCATGTACCTCATAAATATTTACACCTTCTATATAAGCATAAAATTAAATATTTAAAAAAGTTTAAAAGTAAAAAGAGGCTAATTGGAACACTTCAAAACTTAAAAACTTCTGTGTGCATCAAAACACACAACCAACAAAGTAAAAAAGCAACCTATAGAATGTGAGAAAATATTTGTAAATAATACATTTGTTTATGGGTTTTACCCAGAATATATAAGGAACTCCTCCAATTTAACAAGAAGAATGCAAATAAACGAATTTAAAAATGATCAAATGACGGAGTAGATACTTCTCCAAATAATATATATATATACATGTTCAATAATCACATGAGAAGATGCTCACAATCACTGATGCTTGAGAGAAATGCAAATCAAGAGCATAAAAAGAGATCACTTTATGGTCATGATAGTAACTGTCAGAGCAAATAACATAATAACAAATCATAGTGAAAAGGTGGATAATTTGTTGTTGTTGTTGTTGTTGTTGTTTCACTGTTTGATGGAATACAAAATGGTGTAGCCAGTATGGGAACCAGTGTGGAGGTTCCTCAAGAAATTTAAAATACAATTTTCTTATTACTCAGAAATCCACTTCAGAGTATATATATATATATATATCCAATAAGCTTGAATGCAGAATCTCAAGGAGATGCTTGCACCCCTCTGTTCATTGACTGAGCAATAACCAAGATTGTCCAGAGGTTCACAACATTTTCCCAAGAGGGAAACTCACAGAAGAAGAGAAGCAAAATTGCATCATGATTAACAGTCTGAGATATGAAGTTCCAAAGAGCTATTTCTAAGTTGCACACTTCCCTTTATGAGCTATGTTGCCTAGTACAACTTACTTCTATTTCTCAGATGTTTATTCTTTAATATTTAAGCAATAATACTGCCTACTTTATAGATTATAGTGGATAATTTTGTGAGGTAATGAACATAAAACACATAAGACAGTAGCTGGAAGAAATTATTTGTTCAATGAAAGCACACTGTAATATTTTTAATGGTTTTTATTTGAAACAGTACATTTTTCAATATCAAATGTGGCTTCATAGGATAAGCTAGGAAAACAGGAAAGTGGGAGAAAAAGTGATGCTACCCATTTATGAAAACCAAAATCATATTTTGATCAATTAATTAAAACTACTAAAAATCATTAATCTAGAAATTATCATCCCAGAGATAAGGTAAAATTGTCTTAAAGAATGTGGGCATAGGGAAGCAGCTCAGCAATTCCCCTCAAGTGTTACTTTTACAATCCTATTATTTGAGTTACTTGTAAAAATAAATAATTTGTTGTCTTCTTCCAAAGCATAACACTTGAGCAAAGGTAATTTTGGGTTGTATTTACATAATACAAAATAATTACTTCAAAGTGGAAGGGAGTGGGCAGAGTCAAGCACTTATTTTGTATCATATCCTCTGCTGTGTTTTGGATGCAGGTTTATTTGTCCCCACCAAAGTTTATGTAAAAATTTTATCTTCAATGTAGCAGTAATGAAAGATGAAGCCTGTTGGGAGGCATTTGGATAATGAAGGTGGATCCCCTATGAATGTTTGGTGCTGTTCTAGTATCAGTGAGTGAGCTCCTACACTAAAGAGACTAGATTCATTCTATGAAAATGGATTTGTTCTCAGGAGACTGGGTTGCTATAAAGTCAGGATGCCTCTCAGTGTTTCTACTCTTCAAATGTGTCTGTTTCTTTTACTACCTTCTCTGCCATATTGTGATGCAGCATAAAAGCTCTTACCAGAAACCAGGGCTAGCCCCTTCAACTTCTCAGCCTGCAGAATCTTGAGCTAACTAAACCTCTTTTCTTGATAAATTACCCAGTCTCAAGTATTCCTTTATAGCAACCCAAAACAGAATAAGACATACTTCATAGAGCTATTTTAACATAATATGCTGAATTTTTTTAAATGCCAAATCAATGTTGTATCCTTTACCCAAATAAATAAAGAGTGCAATTATATTTTAATGTACTGCCTCAACATTTTTTTGTTTCCAGAGTAATAGCTGCCAGTGCCATATATACATAAGAAAAAATAACATCAGGGGAGACAAAATTTCCTAGAAAAAGTTAACTTCTTTTTCCTTTGATTCTTCCAACTAGGTCTCTATTCAGACTGCAATTATAAAGTGAATTTTGGGCCAATGAAGATAAACACAGATTTTAGCCAGTTAAATGGATGAGGCTCACACTATGGGTAGCAGTATTGCTATGTGTTCATTAAAATCTGTTTTCTTTCTCCTAGGCAAGTAGAATACATTTCCCAAAACAACTTTTCAGTTAAAAGTGAATATTAACTCTATTTCTCATCCATGAAGCACACCAATTTGAGGCCTAACTCATAAAGACCTCAGGCACATTTTCTTATACAACTAAAAAAAGAACTAACATTTGATCCAGCAATTGTATTTCTACACATTTTTTTCCAGGGGAATGAAAATGTGTGTTTACACAAAAACCTGTATGTGAATTTTTACTGCCATGTCATTTGTAACAGTCCAAAACTGGAAAAATATCTAGATGTTCTTCAACAAGTAAATGGTTAAACAAACTGTAGTGCATTCATATAATGGCATATTACTCAGCAATAAAAAAGAATGAACTATTGATTTGCAAGTTGGATGACTCTCAAGGAAATAATGTTGAGTTTAAAACAGCGAATCTGAAAAACTTACATACTGTATGATTTCATTTATATGAAATTACTGACATGGCAGCATTTTAAAGGAAGAGAAAAGATTATTAATTGTCAGGATTTAGGAATGGGGAGAGGGAGGAAAGGTCGGGTTGAATATAAAAGAGTAGCAGTAGACAGATCTTAGTAGTGACAAAATAGTTCTGTATCTTTATTTGGGTGTTGGTTATATTAATTGCACATGTGACAAAATGACAAAGAACTATATATGCACAATGATTATTTTGGGGGGTTTGATATTATACTATGTATAATTATACATTTAACGTATTAGTACATGATTATGCTATATACTCCCCCACACATACATAACCATAGAAGGAGACTGGATGAAGGGTATGTGAAATATTAATGTACTATTTTGAAACCTTGTGAATCTAGAACTATTGCAAAATAAATAAACAAAAAACAGACTCTCACTTGCATGGTCTCCCTCCCTTTTCCCATTTGCTTACTGAAAGGAGAAGAATCAAAATCATGTTTTGAAAATGGCTAAGCCACAAAATGGAAAAAAGCCTGTCCCTAAATCTCCATGTTCATAGATTACCTCTCAATTTGGTATTTCTGTAAGTGAGAAATAAATTTATATTGTGTTTTATTCAGAGTTTATTTGTTATGAAAGCTAGTAATGCCTTAACTTGTATAGTATATGCCACAAAATAAATATCTTAATATGTGAAACACTTATAAGGTATATTTCCTAAAGCATCATTATATGTAATTTTGATAGTTGAAAATCCAAAGAAAGTCATATAATTTGTTAAGTATGTTGATAGGATTCTAGGCACTGATATAGCTAAGTAAAATATTTTTTTTAAAAAAATACACAATATTAACAAATCTTAATGCAGACTAACCAGAATTTTTTTAAAAAAAAAGATCAAAATAAATAAAATCAGAGATGAAAAAGATGTTACAACCAATACTGCAGGAATTCAAAAAATCATTAGAGGTTGGTAAGAACAACTATACAGCAATAAATCAAAAAAATGTAGGACCAATGGATAAACTGCTACACACATAAACCCACCAAGATTGAACCATAAAGAAATTCAGACCTGATCAGACTGAAAGCAAGTACCTAGATGAAAGTCATAATAGAGTCTCAGCAAAGAAAAGCCCCAGGACCCAATGGTGTCACTGCAGAATTTTAACAAATATCTAAAAGGAAGTAATACCAATTTTATTCAAACTACCCCAAAAACTGGAAGAGGAGGAAATATTTTCAAACTAATTTTGTGAATCCAGAATTACCCTGATGCAAAAATCAAAGACCCATTAAAAAAAGAAGACTATTGGTCAATGTCACTGAAAAACATTAATACAAATATCCTCAACAAAATCCTTGCAAACCAATTTCAACATTATATTAAAAATATAATTCACCTAGATTTTCTTCTAGGGTTTTTATGGTGTTAGGTCTTATGTTTAAGTCTTTAATCCATCTGGAGTTAATTTTAGTGTAAGGTGTCAGGAAGGGGTCCAGTTTCTGCTTTCTGCACATGGCTAGCCAGCTTTGCCAACACCATTTATTGAACAGGGAATCCTTTCCCCATTGCTTGTTTTTGTCTGGTTTGTCAAAGATCAGATGGTTGTAGATATGTTGTGTTGCCTCGGAGACCTCTGTTCTGTTCCATTGGTCTATATCTCTGTTTTGGTACCAGTACCATGCTGTTTTGATTACTGTAGGTGTAGGCAAGGACTTCATGACCAAAACGCCAAACGCATTGACAACAAAAGCCAAAATAGACAAATGGGACCTAATCAAACTCCACAGCTTCTGCACAGCAAAAGAAACAATCATTAGAGTGAATCGGCAACCAACAGATTGGGAAAAAATTTTTGCAGTTTACCCATCTGACAAAGGGCTGATATCCGTAATTTACAAAGAACTAAAGCAGATTTACAAGAAAAAAACTAACAAGCCCATTCAAAAGTGGGCAAAGGATATGAACAGACACTTCTCAAAAGAAGACATACGTGAGGCCAACAAACATATGAAAAAATGCTCATCATCACTGGTCATCAGAGAAATGCAAATCAAAACTACACTGAGATACCATCTCACGCCGGTTAGAATGGCGATCATTAAAAAATCTGGAGACAACAGATGCTGGAGAGGATGTGGAGAAATAGGAACACTTTTACACTGTTGGTGGGAGTGTAAATTAGTGCAACCATTGTGGAAGACAGTGTGGCGATTCCTCAAGGACCTAGAAATAGAAATTCCATTTGACCCAGCAATCCCATTACTGGGTATATATCCAAAGGATTACAAGTCGTTCTACTATAAGGACACGTGTACACGAATGTTCATTGCAGCACTGTTTACAATAGCAAAGACCTGGAACCAACCCAAATGCCCATCGACGATAGACTGGATAGGGAAAATGTGGCACATATACACCATGGAATATTATGCAGCCATCAGAAACGATGAGTTTGGGTCCTTTGTAGGGACATGGATGAAC